TCATACCCACATCTTCTCTTAATCCGCTCCAACACCGCACTATCTATCATCGTTTCCATCAAAAACACCACATTTGGCCTTTCTCTCCAACATAAGTCACATAGAGTTCTTTCTATCACGAAGAGTTCTTTCCATCCAAGGGTTGCCAATCCCTTGAACGTTCCAAATTAAAATTTTCATTGTTGTTCGAGGGTGTGGTCATCCCCACTACCCTCTACTTGATTTTGACTGTCACCAGTATTCAATATCCTTCTTTCTTCTCTACTCCGCACTCCTCAACATCCTCACCAGCCCACTCAATCCCAGACCCCTCCCTCTTATTTTTCTTTTGTGATAAAATCCCCATACTTGACACTCCCTTCCCTGTTTTGTCCCCAGAGTACCCCTCATCCATTCGTTCCACCTAGAGGTGTCCACCGTGCGAGTCGTGCGAGCTGGGTTAGGGTTAGGTGGGTCGCGGGTTGGGGTTTCATGACACACGGCACGACACACGTAGGGTAGGGTGGGCCGGGTCGTGGGTTGGGTCGGAGAAGTTGGACACACCAGGGTTAGGTTCGTGGGTTAGACGAGTCGTGGGTGGGTCGAGCTGGGTTTGTGGGTTAGACGGATCGTGGGTGGGTCGAGCTGGGTTTGTGGGTTAGACGGGTCATGGGTGGGTCGAGCTAGGTTCGTGGGTTAGACGGGTCAAGGTGGGTTAGTGAGTTAGGGTGGGTCGAAGGGTGGGTTAGTGGGTTAGGGTCGGGTGGGTTTGTGGGTTAGGTGGGTTAGGGTTGGGTGGGTTAGTGGGTTAGGGTCGGGTGGGTTTGTGGGTTAGGTGGGTTAGGGTCGGGTGGGTTTGTGGGTTAGGGTCGGGTGGGTTCGTGGGTTAGGGTCGGGTGGGTTGTGTGGTGTTTTAATTTTTACAAAATTAACAATTTGATGGCTTGCTCTTAATTAAGATGCCTACGTATCCTTATATTATAAAATAAGGAATCAAAGCCAGCGTAGTATACGTGTTTGCAGTTGCATTATCAAATAGTCAATACACTTTGTGTTTGCAGTTGCATTATCAAGAGACAAAGAAAAAACTTTATTATTCAAGTGAAATTCTTTTAAACAATCCAAAATACGAACTTTGATGTTAAAACCGGTATGCCTTTCTTCCATAGCTTGAAAACATAGTATACGTTTTTGAATAAACCAATCATCATCCACCCAATGAGCAGTAATGCAAAGAAAAGGTTCGCCAAAACTAGAAGTCCATGTATCACTTGTAAAACTAACACGACCATCAAAAGTACGAAATAATTCAATCAAACCACTCCTATACTTATAATAAGAAGTTTGTGTATAACGTCTTAGGGTATTTCGGGGGACACGAGTAAATGCAGGTTGTAATGCAACTTTATTAAAATGCTCAACGTTTGCATTTTCACCGTAACTAAAAGGGTATTCATTAGCAATAACTAAAGTACTCATTTCATCAATCATTCTATCTTTATTATAAATGAAAGGTGTACCTCCGCCGGGTTGGTTCATGTATCCACCCAATTGTGTTTGGACGCCACCCCCCGAAGGACGGGGGCCATTTTCGAACTAGTCGTGTTTATTTTGCAAATGCCGACTCAAGGTTCCGGTTCCATCTCCCGTTTTCCAATTATATGACTTGACATTTGCACCTAGCGCCTTGCAAACTAGGCATGTACACGTGAACCTCTTTGGTTGACCAGGTTGCCATCCCGGGGGTGTGACCTCAACTCGTTCAAAATGTTTCCACACCCAAGAAAAATGTGCTCGACCTCTACTTTCACCGCCACCACCTTTCATAAATCAAATTATTAAAATAAATTTTTAAATGCTATTCATGAAAATAAGCTTTTAAATTTTAAATATTTTAATTATACTTATTTAAACGCATTTTTCATGGTAATTAACTAATTGTAAATCATAGAAAATTGTAAACTAAACTAACTTTATAATCATTAATAATAGTTTTTTTAAATATTCATAACAATAAAAATTTAATTAGAAATTACCTTGAGATGAAGGTTGAGATGTTGGTTGCGATGGAGGTGGCATAGTTGAACTTGATGATTGGTGGGACTCGTGGGAGAAATGTTGTGGTGGAGACGTTTGAATATTTTGCCTATCTCCTAAACCATAATCTCCATATTCATTGACAAATTGGTTTAAATTTTCCGTATTAATTTCATACGAAAAATTTGCACCACCACTCCTTTGGCTATCACTTCGACCACCACTTTGACTCCTTCCCATTCCTCCTCTTGAGCTCATTTTTTTTTTGTATGATTACTAATTATAATATGGAGAAGAACTTTTTTTTTTAGAATCTTAAGAATACTAATAATAATATTAAGGAGATTTTTTTTAACAAAAATATAACTCTATATAACACTTGAGAATTTGAGAACAATAAGAATTTTTAAGTAAGAGAGAAAGAAAGCTTGAATTTGTGTGGAAATTTGAGTGAAATGGAATTGGTATTTATAGGAAAAATAGAATGGATGATCATACACTTAAAAAACTAGCCGTTAGATACAAAAAACTAGCCGTTAGATACAAAAAACTAGCCGTTTTTTTTTTAAAATGGATGTTAGGCCGTGCGGGCCGTGCGGGTCGTGCGAATTGTGCGGGCTGTGCGGGCCGTGCGGGTTGTGCGGGCCGTGCGGGTTGTGCCGGCCGTGCGGGTTGGGTGGGTCATGCGTGCGGGTTGGGTGGGTCATGCGTGCGGGTTAGGTGGGTTGGCTCGTGCGGGTTGGGTGGGTCATTCGTGCGGGTGGGCCGTGCGGGCTGGGTTGTGCCAGGTGGGTCGGGTTAGGTGGGTTCACGGGCTAGGTGTGTCGAATTAAATGAGTCAAAACGGGTTGTGCGATTTGGGTCGAATCAAACGGGTTAAACTGAGCTGGGTTGAAATGGGTTGTGTCGAAAATTTTGGACCCACGACACAACCCGGATTAAATCCGAGCTGTGCCGGGCTGTGCCGGATTGAAACCGGGTCGGACCCACGTGACCCACCAGCCGTGCGAGTTAGGGTGGGCTGGGTCCAACCCGGCCCACTGGCCACCTCTAGTTCCACCCTTCTCCATTTTTTTGAATTTTTAATCACATTTTTCCCTGATTTTTTTGAGATAAAAACATTAGAATATTTATAGTATTTTCCATCCCCACGCTCTCCCTCCCCATCTTCCCGCACTCCAAGTCTATGTTGCCATCAATACTCCTCGGCCGAAGCACATGTTTGTTACTTCCTTCATAAAAAACAAGCGCCAAAGTAGCTTCCCTCTCACGGGGAACAGTCACATCATGCTTGGGATACATACTTGAGAAAGTAACTTCCTTGCAGCTCCCACAGGACCCAGCATTATTGTTTTCTTCTTCGTATACACATCACTTCGCCCCTCCCTTATTGCTCCCAGCTTTTCGCCCTAAACTCTCTTTCTCCCTAGTAGCAAAAGTCTTCATTGATGGACGAACATGTGATGCCCTAAGCAAAGCACCATATTGATAAACCATAGCCTCCTTCTCTTCCCCATCGGCCACCTTAACTTCGTACTCCTTATCGGTATGATCAAGTTTGCCACAGTAGAAGCAAAAATCTCCTAATCTCTCATACTTGATATCAACCCATTTTGTATTTAATCCACCAGCAGCAATGAATATGCCCCTACACAAAGATTCTCGCACATCCACCAACACCTTTATACGCATATATTCCCCCCAACCAAGAAGGTTAGATTCATCCAATTGCAGGAAACCTCCAAGAGATTCCCTGATGTCATACATAGTAGAAGGGTTTCTTTTCACAGAGGGCACATCAAAAAGACGGATCCACATCGGAGCTTTGTCAAATACAACCTCAAACGGTTGTTCGCATCCTTGAATGTCCTTCAGCACCAGTAATTTGCCATACAAAAACCAAGGACATCCCTCGATTATTCTCTCCTTATCCGCCGTATGAAAAAATGGAACATAAATAGGTTTGTATCAACCATTTTAGTTACAATGTTGTCATTCAATCGCCATATACTCGATAGGGTTTTCTTCATAGCTTCAACGTTGAACGTTTTGACCATCTATAGTTTCCCAACCAGTGCAAGACGAAGCTGTTCGTTCGATTCCTCCGCTGTACTCTCATCGCACGTATCTCCAATAATTTTATTTTCATCTTCAGTTAATTTGAATTTTTCCCAATCCTTAATAAGATCGGCCTCCATAATCAATAAACACATACTAGTAAAAAATTGGGCTTAAGTAACACCCTTTGGTAACACTTTAAAAATTTCATGATTGTTTGATTTTTAGGTAACACTTTTGTAACATTGTGGTATTAGGTAACATTTTTAGTAGCACTTTAATATTATGTAACACTTTATTGTAAAACTTTGATATTAGGTAGCACTTGGTTGTAACACTTAATTTAATATGATCAATTTTTTTTTTGATCCAATATTTTTTTATAGAAAAAAAATAAAAAAATAAAATACACCCATCGTCTTGTCAAAATATCGATCCTCATAACCTCACTGTTGGCTGTCTCCCAACTTTCTTCCACCCCCAAGATTTCCTCGGCTTCCACGCTGCCCCCATCTCGCTCCCGCTGCTCCACTGTAGCCCCGTCCATTGCAGCCTCCCTCCAACGCAACTCGTGCTCCAACTTGAAGACGTACCCAACGACCCCGTGCTCCAGTTAAAGGGACAACGATTGCCACCCCCAAAGATAGCGGTTGCCACCTCCTTGCCTCCATCCCCGCTCGGCGGCTTTCACCTTAAAGCACTACTACAAAATTGAGCTTAAGTAACACCCATTGTAACACTTTAAAAATTTCATGATTATTTGATTTTTACGTAACACTTTTGTAACATTGTGGTATTAGGTAACATTTTTTGTAACACTTTAATATTAGGTAACACTTTATTGTAACACTTTGATATTAGGTAACACTTGGTTGTAACACTTAATTTTTTTTATTTATTATTTTTTTAAGAAAACACTTAATTTGATATGCTCAATTTTTTTTAATCAAAATCGACCCTCACAGTCACAACCTCAAAAATTTCTTCCCCCTCGTATTTCTCCAACCCTCAATTAAGCTTTGACCGTCTCTATACGCTGCACCTCCTTACCTCTGCTTCCACCGCTATCACCTTCTCAGTAATTAAACCAATCAACCTTTCCATCGATTTTCATTCGCCATTAACAACGAAGCTCGAAATCAATGGAGGACATTATCTCTCCTTCCGATAAGCAGGTCATGGTCTCCAAATTCCTCGAGATTTCTGTTGGCCAGAGTGCCGATACGGTCTGCCAATTCTTGCAGGTATTTCCCCTAATTTCTACTTATTTTTTTTCTTCAATTTCATAAATTAGGGTTTTTTTTCACTGCAATGCTCGATTTGATGATCGCTGCACAATCAATTTTGTATTCTGTAGATTTTGTTGCGAAGTGTAAAATTGAATTAGAGTGATGGCAACTCAGAAATTGCGATGCATTTATTGGTTAGTGTGATGAACTACGGAACTTGCTTTGAACTTCTTGCCGGTAAAAATTGTGTGGTATGATTGCGTAAGATGTTTATTTGTTGATGTTAGTAGTGTAGTCCAATCAATTTAGCTGGTGGTAATTTCATGCTCCCTCCCCTTTGATTAATTATTGCTTGTAGTCGAGGGCTGTTTGGCATGATATAGTTTGTTGTACTTTCTCCATTTTTTGTTGTTAATCGAGAGGTAATTTCATGCCCCCTCCCCTTTATGTATACTTTTTTTTCCTGATTTTTAAATTTGTTGGATTAATCAATCTAATTTCTTGCTTTGAACAAGTTGGGTGATGAATATTTAACTTCGCTGATTTGAATGTTGTATAGGTTTTGATTCCTATTCTGAAACCAACTGGATACACCAGTGCTGATCCTTATAAAATGTAAGCTTAATCTAACCTTCAATGCTTTTTTACTAGCTATTTTATGTTTCTTGAATTTTTCTGCTTGCTATTTCAATTATTGAGCATTGATTTAGAATTTAGGATTCTGGTGAGTTTCATTGGTGTTGTTTAAGTGCAATTAAGCCCTTTTCTTTCAAGTAGCTGTAGAATTGGATTCTATGAGCGAAATCGGGTAGATAAATGACTAATAAGGTTTTGGGTGAGGCCAAAGTAGTGAATTGTATTCTAATTTATCACCAAGAAATTTAATAATCAGCAAATCAGCTTGGTTAGTAGGCAGGAGGCAACAGTGAAATGAGAGATCATAATCACGAAGATAGTTTCGATATAGATGACACAGATTGGGATTGGATGGAACCATCAAAGTGACATGTTTAGACCCTTTTTTTAGAATAACTAGATGGAAGCCCGTGCGATGCACGGTTTTTTCATCTAAGGTTTTTAATTATTTGATTTATTGTATTTAATAATTTCAGACAAAATTACAAAAGTTTAATATTTTTTTTTTACTATAATTTATAATGAATTTATTAAATATAAATAAATTGTAAATATTATATTTTTTCCGTTATATAAAATCTTTAATGTGAAATGATAAATTTTTAATAATTTAAATCCTAAATCATTATTTATTGTTTTACCATATCTTTTATTTCGATAGAATCACCAACCTCGTCCACAACCAACCTACTACATCCATGGATAAATTGAACCGTAAAATGTTAGCCAACTACTGAAATTGATATAAATTAAATCTTTACATTTATATCAAATAAATCAATATATTTACCAATAAATGAAAAATTGTTGCGATATAAAATCAAATTTATGCATTGGAATTTTTTCATCATCTTCAAAAATAACAAAAGCCATCCATATATTAAGTATACAACATCTAATTGTATGTCATTACATAAACAAATAATCGTTAAGTATCCTAAATAAATACAATGTAACTAATAATTACAAATATAGATTTAAACATAAGATTTTAAAAATTATCCGGACATTGATGACCTAAAACTAACACAAAATTACTATCACAAAATTCGCTTGATGGGGTTTTGTATTGATATAAAATTTTATCTGTGTCGTATGATGTGTTAGATCTGCATGTAAAAAAACATTTAGTAAATAAAACATAAACATATAATTGTTGAGTATCCCAAATTAATACAATGTAAGTAATAATTAGAAATACTAATTCAAACATAAGATTTTAAAATTAAGCTAAAAATTACCCGGCCATTGATGACCAAAAATTAACACAAAATTACTAACACAAAATTCTCTTGATGGGGTTTTTTATTGAAACGAAATTTTGTTTGTGTCGTATGATGTGTCAACTTATAATGGTAGGTATCACAAATTTAATTTAATTATAATTAACAAACAATTTTTATTTCTTATCATAAATATTATAAAAAATTATCTTATAATGATAGGTATCAAACTTTAGTATAAGAGTTTATCTTTTAAATATTTTTTAGTATATTGTTTTTTTGATTTCTTATACTTGTAGTATTGAATTAATAAATTTATCTTTTCTTATATTTTTACTTTATTTTTTTTCATTAAAATAATTTAATTCGTGGATTATAATCTACGTGGCACTAAAATTTTAGATATATCAAATCTAATTCGTTACTTTTATCTAGGTGGCAACATAGTTTTTTAATTCAAAAATAAAATACAAATCTTTCTTCTTATTGGTCGAAATAAGTATATTTCTTACATGGCGCTCCGGATGCTCTCAAAAAATGCCTACTTTATTTATATATATTAGATTATCCTTCATTTGAACTTATTATTTGGATTTGACAAACTATTATTGAAGTGTTATATTTTTCTATTTGAACTTGTTTTCTAATGAAATTTATAAGTTATATTAGTGGTTAAATTTAGTGTTGTGCTACAAAATTTACTCTAACCTTTATTTTAATTATTAAATTTATTCTATCAACTGACTGTGTTGTGCGTTCTTTGTAGAAAGGAAAATCTAGATGGCAGAACATGAGAAACTTAGACAAAAAACTATAGAACAAAATAGAATCAGGATGAAGGATTTAGGGGTTACATCCATGGCTTATGAAATGAAACAGTCGATGAAGGGATCGAAACAAACGAAAAAAAGGAAGAAGGTGACTAAAGATACTGACGAGTATACACCTGATGAAGAGGGTGAACTGAACCACTCAAGTGAAGAGGATGAAAATGAGACAAGGAAAACCGGTGTAAACTTGAGGTCTTGTTCAAACAAGGTTGTTACTGCTATTTTTTCGCTGCTACCGTTGTCTGATCTGTTGCTGACTCTTGCTACTTCGGTTTTCTGATACTGCTGGTTACGTTGCTGCCAACTGCTGTCTACTACTGCTGGAAGCTGCCACTCCTGTCTGCTATTGCTGGTTACTGCTAAAGATTGGTGCTAGCAGCTTCCGTTACTGCTTTTGCCATTCTGCTAGCTGTGTAGCTGCTGCCATCCTGCTAGCTAGCTGTGTAGTTGCTCCTATACGCTGTTATTAATGCTCTTTACTGTTATCGCTGACTTTTTTGAAATTTGGAAGTTTTCTTTTTCCTAACTTTTCCAAGCTAGAGATCGAAATTAATTTTCTTTGTGTTTGCATTATTATATTGTTTGGCCTGGCCAAACATTAAAATTGGTGTTTATGGATTTTTTTTGTAAGAATTATGAAAGTATTTCAATCCAAATTGTTTTCTATCATATGTGTTGATTTCTTATTCATATAGTTGTTGCACATATAAATTTTTTTTATATTTAAAAAAATAGTAAATGAAATGTTACCTATTAATCTATAAAGTGTTACATTACTTTGTAAACAGTGATACATAATGTGGAATAAAGTGCTACTATATGTCAAAAACATGATTGAAAAATGTTACCTAATAATCAACAAAGTGTTACATTAGTTCGAAAAAAAGATACATAATGTCGGATAAAGTGATACTATATGATTGAAAAAGTGTTACGTTATCTAGGAAATATTAGACCATATCTCTGAATATCTCGTATTTTCCGAGAGGATTAATGCTGCCATGCTGGCCAAGTTACCCATAACTTGTCAATGTAAAATTGTATGCCCGCTTCCACCTCCTCAAGCTGTTGTTGTTTCCACCTCGCGAAAGTGGTTCTGCCTAACCAACACCACCGCCACCACAGGGTTTGATTTGATTATTTTCAAGGTTTTTTAGGCTAAATTTGACCATTAAAAGCCTAGATCTAGCCTTTTCATGGCCGAATTTGGCCTTGTTAAACTGTTTTCGTGGTGAAATTCAAGCCCATTTCAATTTAAGGTATGTTTTATAATTTAATTTTGTGATTTTGTAATTTTTTTTCTTCGTTTTTTTTTTAAATTTTTGGGTTTTAAGTTGTTGTGTGTGCGTGTGTAATGTGTGGGCTGGTAGTAGGTGAAGATTTGTGAAGGTGGTGGGTGGTTTTGTGGATTCTGGCGTGGGTTAGAGTTGGTTACGGTTTTGGTTTCGGGTTTCGAGTAGATCTGGGTGGTTTCGGTTTTTTTGGGGTAGTTTCAGGTGGTTTTGGGTATTTTTGGGTGGTTTCGGGTTTGGGTGGGGAATGGTGGTTTCGGTGGTGGTTGGGGAGGGTGGAGAATGGTGATTTCGGTGGTGGTTTGTAGATCTGGCGACTAAGGTGGTGGGTCTAGTGGGTGGGGTCGGGTCAGGAGAGTATTTCTGGTTAGGTGGGTCTGGTGGGTGGGTTCAGGTTAGGGTGGTGGGAGGCGTGGGTGGGTTCAGTGGTAGCTGGTGGTGTGGGGAGGCGTGGGTGGGTCTGGGTTAGGAGGATCTGGGTGTGGGGAGGCGTGGGTGGGTCTGGGTTAGGAGGATCTGGGTGTGGGGAGGCGTGGGAGGGTCCGGGCTGTTTTTTTTTTTTAATTTTTTTTATTGACTTTTTCGACGGAAAATTCCGTCGGAATATTCCTCTTCCGACGGAAAATTCCGTCGGAATATAACTCAAACTGACGGAAAATGTTCCGTCGGAACATTGCGACGGACTTCCCAATTAAGTCAAACTTGACTCCGATAGAAAAAAAATCCGTCGGAATGGACCTTTCCGACGGAATTTCCCTCGGAATATCGCGAAATACCTACAAAATGTATCGCGAAATGGGTATTTCCGACGGAATTTCAGGGTTTTTCGAGGGATTTTTTCCGTCGTTGATTGGCTGTTTTCTAGTAGTAAACAAAGTGTTATGATTCGACATAGTAACCTTGAGTCAGTAATGTTCACCCATCACCATAATGCGTGCCCTAACTAGCTCTACCACGCACGGCACGACACATGCATTAGTTTAATCAACAGTTTCTTAATTCTATCCTTGCATGTTTTATTGATGTATAAAGCTAACCTAACGCAAGATTTATGATACATTGTTCAGTCATAGCCAGGCGCTTCCTCCTGTAACGCTGAGCATTATCACGATTCATGAATTAGTTGCGTAAGAAGTGATTAACTCGATCAGTACTTGATTTCCCTAGCTAGATGTCGGCAGGAAAACGTTTACTTCACTAGTTCTATACTTCTATAGGAGTGTACGTAACTCGATTTCGACCACATGGCAAATTTTAATGGCTGTGATTTTATTACAACAACTGATAACTACTGCAGTGAATGTATAAACAGCACAAGTAATAATCTTATCTTTTATTATTGTAGCTGATTTTTCATGCTTAAATTTTGCTATTATTGTTTTTAATTCTTGGGCTCCATTTGGTAGGTAAAGGAATTAATGGTGGTTTGGTGAAGGCCGAGGTATGTAATATAATTTTCAGCTCGATCAGCAGCCCACAGCAGCAAGGGGAAGTCGACCCTCAGCATCACGAATAGCTACCCCCGCACCCACATACTTACCTTCCAAGACACGAGCATTAATATTGATTTTGACCACGCCATCAGCATTAAAAGTGTTGCACTTGTAAGTACTTAAAAACAAAAGGAGTATCTTACCACAGTATGGTTGGATAGAATAGTTTTGATAAAAATTGGGGTTAGATGAAAACAACCCTATAATCATTTGATGATCTAAACAATACAAACAAAAAATATAAAATTGAATGGAAACATAAAAGATTAGATGCAAAGGTGTAATGGGAGTGATGGGAATGGTTCAGTAGGCCTACTGTTAGTGTTGTGCAGCTTTAAATGAAAATTATGACTTAAAAATTTAACCCATAAAATAAATAATAAAAAATCTTTCCAAGTCAATATTAATATGACTAGGTTTGGAATTAGAATTTATAATAACTGTTTTGTTAAATAGTTTTGCAAAAATAGCTAATTCCGTAAAAGATCTATCCTGGTTATATTGGTTGTTAGGAGCATGGACGTTTGGTTCGCAAAATATAGGTATGAAGTATGGGTTTAGAATGACTAAAACTCATACCATATGTTTGTTTGGTTGTCAAAAGTATGAATTTTAAACCCATATTTCAAACCCATAAGGTATGGGGTTTAGAAACCTTTGGGAGGAGGTGGGTTTGGCTTATTCCATTCCCTTAGGTATCAAATAAAAGGAGGGAATAGTGAGAGATTCCATTTCAGAATTGTACCAAACACATGGTATTAAGTATCAAGTTCCAACCTGATACCACCTTAACCTTATTCCTGATTTCAAACTCATACCAATCTGCGAACCAAACGCCCCAACTTTAATTCTCTAGAGCGCTTTAAGATGATATGGTTATTTTAGAAACATTATCCATTTAAAAAATGTGGAGTATTTGGCAATTTTTGGAGTTGCGGCTGGTAGTTAAGAGTTAAGACCTCTATAAAAGATCATGTGCCAAATCCTGGAATTGCATCAAACATTCAAACACCCTAACTTCTCTTCGAATAATCCCACCCTCTTATTCTCAAAGCTATATACTAATATACTACATACTAATACTAGCATGGATTTGTTGAGCTATATACAATGGATACTACCATTGTATGCTACAATCTTTTTATTAGTTTCACTAGCAAAACACTACTCACACTCTAAAAACCTACCTCCCGGACCCTCCTCTTTGCCTATTTTTGGCAATCTCTTGAACCTTGTACCTCATATCACCAAACCTCACAAGTACTTTGCTGAACTAGCTAAGACTCATGGACCTATCATGAGCCTTCAGCTAGGCTCCACGACCGCTATTGTTGTATCGAATGCCATGCTTGCCAAACAAGTACTCCTAAAAAACCATGATGTTTTCTCCACCCTCTATGACCTTGATGCTGTTCGAGCTCATGATCATGAAAAGTTCTCCATTGGTCCATTATCAGCCTCTTCTCACATGTGGAGAGTCCTTAGAAAGATATACAACACCCGACTTTTGAGTGACAAGATGCTCGAATCAATGCAAATTCATAGGTACCAAAAGTTGGAGAAGTTGCTATGTTATATGAAAGAATGCTCGCAAGATGTTGGACAAGCGGTTTATGATGCTTCTTTCGATATGATATCTAGTACTATTTTCTCCATGGATTCGGGCAGTGATTCGAGGATAAGGGAGATTAAGGAGTTGATGGATTGTATCATAAAGGAGATAGGGAGACCTAACATAGTGGATTGTTATCCCATGCTTAAACTAATTGATCCACAACGAATAAGACACCGATTAACTAGCTATTGTGTTAAATTGTTTAAGTTATTTGATGAAATTGTAGAATTGAGATTGAAGTCCAAGATTGGCCAAGTGCACTCTTCAGAGTTTTATGACGGTGATCTATTGGACGTGATCTTAGATGTCATGGAAGAACAAAGGGACGAAATCAATCGAGATCACCTTCATCATCTGTTATTGGTAAGTGCACTAGTACATAGCAGGTTGTAAACCTTCATAATGTCATACAAAGTATAACATAACCTTTATATTTTGTAGGGTTAGTTAAGGAGGGTTTTGAAAACTAAGGAGAGATATTCTAAAATTCAAATTCCATTTGTCTCCAAAAACAAACTTAGGGGGCATTGGTTTAGATAATGGAAATGGAATGGAAATGAAACAAATAAGAGGGGGAAAATAAATCATTTAACTATTACTTTTTCATTTGTTTGGTTTGACTATGGAAAAGAATTGGTTAAACTTTACTCCCTTTGTTTGTGTTTGAAAAGAGTAAGGGTATTTGTTACCTTAAGTTTTTGAGAGGTAATAAATAAATGGGAGGTAACCATTATTATCACTCTTAGGTAATGGTAATTGTTACCAAGCCTTCTAACCAAACATTCGATAACGGTTTAATCGCATCCGTTTTCAATCCAAAAAATACACTAACTAAACATGCTGTTAATATGTAGTGATTAGACCGGCCAAAATATGATGGATTCTCATCTGTCTCTATAAAATATAATTAGGTTGTCGAAGATTTGATGGGTTGTCGATATTCCACTTGATGAAATTGTTATTAAAGTAATACAGTATTTATACTATATGCATTTGATAATTAATAAAATATCTCACAAATTGAAACATTTTTTTTCTTAATATAACTTTAGGATCTCCTTGGTGCTGGAATGGACACAACCTCAAAAACAATGGAGTGGGCAATGGATTGATGGCAAAAGGCAATATAGACTATATCTTGGAATCACGTATCCCCGAACTTCCTTACCTACAAGCAATAGTTAAGGAAACTCTAAGGCTACATCCAGCAGCTCCATTGTTACTCCCTCGCAAAGTGGAAAAAGACGTAGAAATTGACGGCATTCAAATCCCTGAGGGTGCAATGCTTATAGTTAATGCATGGGCTATTGGCCGCGATCCACACACTTATTCCATAAACAAACTTCTCATACACATATTAGCAAATCCATCAAAGGTGAGATGGACTTAAGATCAACCTAATGTTGCATGTTTCATACAACTAAACATCACTAATGAAATTGAAGTTTGAGCAGTGGGTCCCTTGTCCGCTAAGTGGGCCGCCAAAGCCCAAAACTGACTTATCCAGATCAAATTTAAGTGGAATATCATGCATTTGGTAAAGCCCAATGTTGATATTAGCTCTATATTCTATCCCACCATTTACAAATGCTAGGCATAACACTCCAGATTGGGCCTCAACCATAGAATTCAGCCCAAAAATGGACCAAATTGTATCCTTACCCTCAAGCTCGATATCGATGCTAGGAACTCCAGGGCCTAATCGCGTTGAAGAGAAATGTTTGGACTCGTAGCAAAGCCCAAATGGTGCTATGGGCTTTACTTTTGGTATCTTAGAGAGTTGCTTAGCAAAATATGAAGTAATAGCCTTGAAAGTGGACCCTTCTAGGATAGTGTAAGGTAACAAGGTGTTAAATGTGGTTCCACCACCCGAACCCGTATCCTTAACCGATAGCAAAGTGGTGTTTAGGCCGGGAATGGGCTTTTCGTTGATTTTAATGGACTTAACATTTATATAGTATTCATCGAATGGGCTTATGGTTAACGGTGTGTATTTGAGACTCTTTGATACGGCGATACCGGGAAAGAAACTATAAGGCCCATCTGACCCAAATATAATGACCCCATCAGCAGAAGTGCTTGATGGGATGCACATAGTAAAAATGCGCTTAAGCCCAAGTTTAGATGCAAGCACATTTTGTAAGGCAATCGGTGCGTGGGCCAGCCCCGCTACACCTTGTACACCTTTGGGTAACCGCAATTCAACCAAATCGGATGGGGCACAGGTGAAGAGGTAGTCGGGTATACGAACCAATGGGCCGGGGTTTTTCCCATCAGTTGAACTAAGAGCAATGACATCTTGGGCTAGCTCGCCAATTGTACTTTGGTGAGATACCGGATTTTCTAATAAGTACCCACATGTGTCAGTGTGACAAAATGGTCTAGCCCCTTGGCAACTAGTAAAGCAATAGCTTGTGCCAGCTATTTTGCATTGGACAGAATCACACTTGGGCTGACTAAAGGTCGATGAATCGTAGTTGGTTTCGCAATTAGCCCAAACATGGCGGGTATTGAGGTCCACTACAAAGCTCACGGGTTTTAGGGGTGTTCTTACTAAAATGTTGGCTACTAGAAGTTTAGTAGCAGCATCTTGGCGTATCGGTAAAACTACTGGTTTTGTGTCCGAAAGTGAACAGTAAGCTTGGCTAAAAAAGGTGTTGAAAGAAAGAGATAATAATATGAAAAGGAAGAAAGCAAATTCAGCCATTTTATTAGATTTGATTTTTAATGAGAATGAATAACTATAAGTGATGTAGAGATATATATAATGAAATGAATTTTTTTTTTTGTTTTTTAAAAAGACACTAAATTTTATTAATTAAAGTCATACGACATCTACAATTGACAATTAACGATAATGAAAACGAATTTAACAAAATCAAACAAGAATTAATCGGGGAAGGGCTAAGAATCCAAATTCGTAAATATAACAATTCGGCACATTCTCGATTCGTTGTTTCATACAACTTTTTGAGTGGATCCGTCGTCGCTTCGCAATTTTGTGAAAAATAAATTCTTGTGCTGATTCCGTAACCCGAATCCGAGCTATAATCAATCGTAGCCCTGCACAACCGGAGACCAAATTAAATACAAATAAAACCTTATCTTTCAAAGGAGTTCGAAAAACCTTGTCTTTCGAATGAGATCGAAAAAACCTTGTCTTTTGAAGGAGATAAACCCTTTCTTTCGAGGGAGACATTATTGTAACCTAAAAAACAAAAGGCTTAAAAGAAAATAAAATTGGGGCTTTCCACCGGTGAAATCCGATAAAAGCCCCTTTAAAATTGACAATGGAGGCTAAAGTTTAGGAGAGAGAAGAGAGAGAGAAAGCTAGGGTTTTTATAATGAATGAATTTTAATTTGGTGCAAAGAAGAAGTTTTTATATTCAAAATCATGCAATTAGTGATTATAATAAGGTATGAATATCAGACCAATTTATTACTAGTAAGATCTAAATATAATGTTTTTAACTATTTTATACTACAACATGCTCTATCTGAACTCTTGTCCAAAATGTTTCAGGAGCAATTATATTATTTTACATTTCTACATAAGAGTTACATTGTTATATGCACATTGATATTTGTAATATACTAATATTACAATGCTCTGAATAATTGTCCAAAATGTTTCAGCAGCAATTATACTGCGTAGTATTTTAGTAACATCGTTTTCTGTATACTAATATACTATTCACTATTTTATGAAAAGATTGATAACTGAAGGGTATCGAATATTATGATGTTGATCATCGATCATAGCATAATACACGTGCAGAAGAGGTGAAGTGTCGTGGAAAATCTGTAGCATAATACACGTGCAAAAGCTGGAGATCGTCTAAGAGTTGTGGAGCATGCAAGAGTAGTACTCCCTACGTTGGCTACGTGTTCTGAAGCAAGTTTACCTGAATATTAAACGCTTGATTTTAACGTTTTTTTTTTTTTTACAATCGATTTTAACGTTAAACATTAAAAGGTTACCATTAAACTATGTCATATTATGTTTTTTTAGTGCAAAGAAAATAAATAAATAACACATATATATTAATAGAAGTAGTTCCTCGGAAAAAAAATCAAATCAATAAATGTAAAATTGAATCAGGATTATAATGCACAATTAGGCAATTATCGTTATACATGTAATAACTCATGACGCTGCCTAGGTGGCTAGGTTCAATAACTAGTTTGTAATATGTATTGTGTATGTGTCTCATTTGAAAGGAAAAAAAAAAAAAAAAAATTCAATTTTGGACCAGACTTGCAAAATCCAATGTGAAGCTTATAAAGTTATAATTGTACTCTAGTGTGTTTTTGCTATAATAATGTTATCCATTGTTATCATCTTAATTCTCAATATAGCATAAAGGTTCAAATAAGGACCCAAATGTCAGGGTTGACCCATATTTGTTTTTTAGGGAGATTAGGGCCGGAGAATGATGTGATGGCCCAATATTATTTTGAGTTAATTTTTTACAGTATGAAGTATTTATATGGTGCGATCCGAAGGAAATTCCAAATCCATGATATTATGATTTCATTTTATATTCCAATTCTATACCAGTTTGCGAACCAAATACCAATATTTGGCATATGACTTTTGTTCCAATAATTCAGTAAGGCAGTAATTAGCTTTTATAGACTTTTGGTTGGAACTTTGCAGCTTGAGGATTTAAGAAACTTACAAGAGGATATGAAATTTTGGAACATGGATGAGAGTTCTGGGCTTAAAAAATTGAAGTACTGAGTAAATAATAGCGAATAGGAGCTACTTTAGCTATTGGACTTTGGTGCTTGCCTTAGCTGCTTGCCTTGGTAGAATTGGCCTAAACCGCTAAAATTTGAAACAAAGCGATTATGAACCAAAACTTTCCTCTATTGCTTTCATATTACTTTTATAGTTTTATATTACGGTAATAATATGTGGAGCATTTTAGATTAGGTCACAGTGGTGCGAGAAGACGTATCTAATCTCCTTCATGTATCTTACTTAAAAAAAAAAATAATAATAATAAAATAAAATGATATGTGAAGCATGTAACATTTTAGACTGCATATATATAGGCTTAATTGAGAAGCATTAATTTTTTTTTGATAAAGATACGTATTAATTTACAAACGCACAACAAATGTACTCGTAAATATGTGTATATAATTAATATTAGACTTGCTTAAATACTTTTTTGGCACTTAACGGCGTAATAATTGAGACTATCCGCATTTAACATACAATTGCAGTTTCGATCTAAAACAATTGATAATAAAGAACACGATGAAATAACTTTATGATTGTTTCTCACTTCTGCTAAAAATTAAACCTAAATTTTCCCAAATATGAGCTTACAAAATACCAAAAAAAAAAGAAAAAAAAACAAAACAGAGTAACATCATAATTTGTTGCACTCTTCCAAAGAGGAATACGTATCAGGGAAGTTGACTACGCGATTAGAAACTCCCAGCATAATCTTTGAAATGATAAAGTTGTAAGCAATTTTCGCAATTCGCAATTTAATCTGGCCCCTTTTCGGCAATAATCTTCTACATTGATTGCATCTTGCCTTGATAACATCTTTGTTCTTCATCATCTTGCTCTCCATTTTACACTACTTATGACGCGATATCTTGATTAAGAAGATGAATATCTTTTTTGTTTCTGCTTAATCTGCTAGATCAAGTGTTTGCATATCTATTTATAGCATGTAATAGAGATTAATGGGATAATGTTTGTGATTAGAGAGTTTGGTAGGATAATATGGTGAATATGAAGCATAACAACAAAGCATGTCCTCCTACCTTCTGGCTGTCTCAAATAATGTTGTATTTCTTGATGTTTAATTTAGATTTATAAGTATAGTTTATAGGATAAATGTTGATTCTTATAACAGCCTTCATTATATGATTTTCCAGTTAATCCTATATATTATATAATTATATACAAGAATTTTACCAACCTAGCTATTATATGATAGACCCAAATGTCGTTGACTTTTATTTTCTTTTTTGTTTATTATTTTGTTAGTACATACGCATGCTTAGAAATTTCGTGTTAGGTTGTTTTTTGGTCATGTAGAGAAGGGTGGCTAGCTATAGCAGATTACTAGCTTGTTTTGGTATTTTTCATGCATGCTCCTCTACTCTACGTCCAACATGCATGCATTAAAAATTGTTTTTTCAAAACGACTTGACATGGATGATAACTTTTACGAGTATATTGTAAAGGATAATCAAATTATTATTAGTTATTGTGTTAATTGTGTAATCCCTTAATTTACTCTTTGGATTGAAAGTCAAAGATTTCCCTAATTCTTAGCTAATTTATCTAGACAAATGTACCTAGTCACATTTTATTTCTTACTCATGCACTATATATACTCATGTATAACCATTAATATAATTTAAGATTTCCAACATTCTCTTTCTCATGATTCTATCATATATTACATACAGTTTATAACATACATGCACCTATGAGGCATACGCATGATAATCTATTCAAAAAGATTAAAGAATACTATATAAACGTTTATTTTTTCCAAACTCCTTGTTATTTATACGGAATAATCCAAAACGAACACTGCTTGATACACCTATACGAAGTATATCAAATTTATCTTTCACCTAGTATATAAAGTTGTAAGCTACGTTACATAGATAGGCTCTGTCTTGCTTAGGTTATATGAAAAAGTTTCAACAAAAATAATACGAAGTGTTTAACAAAATTAAATTAAATTTAATTAACAAAATAGTTGGAATCAAGGCTTGGGCTTGGGCTCGTGGGCTGAGCTTATTTTGTGATTAGCTGGACAAGGACAAAAGTCGAAGTTAATAGCCCAGTCAAGTTCTAGGAAGCTTGTTGGCATTTGGCAGGCAATGAGAAAAATTCAATTCCATATCTTTATAATGACAAGTAGATCCTCTAATAATTAATTCTTAATTAAATTGATTAAACTAGCTAGCTATGCATGTCTGTTGTTCCCCAACGTCTGCCCTAAAACAACTTAGCTTGCATACTTTTATATTATAGGTTTGTTCCTGTAATACTTCGTAAATGGGTTATTAGTTATTATAAAGTAGTCCCTCCGTTGTCTCTTATTGTTTGCACCATTTGATCCAAAAAACTCTCATAAAAAGTGAGCTTATGGTGCAAACAAAAGGGGACTGAGGATGTAATAAGTAATGCAAATAAAAAATAAAGTATCAATACAAATATGTACAGTTCTAATACGTAAATATGTAATTAATCTTAATAATTTTATATCATGCTATAAGCCTATAACTACACCTAAGTCATTTACTCGCCTTAATACAATACGAAGTAAAATATATGATCCTACCTAAATCATGCTGTTCAATACTCGTACAAATCTAATTTGTTGACAAGATTCATGCTAGCTACAACATGCATATCATCTTTCACAATAAAATATTAGGTATACATACAATATCCACATAGGCACCTGTCTATTTGATTTATTTCAACATCACATTAATTTAAACATGTCCCTCCATTTCGCAATGATCTTAACATTTGTTAATTTCTAGTTTTGACAAGTTCTAAATCTTCCAATATAATAATGTCAATTTCTAGTCATATAAGTTCAAATGAGTTTATATTACGTTACATAACCTCCATTTCACAGTGATTTTAACATATGTCATATTGGTCCATTTCAAAATGTTTTTAATTCTAGTGATTTTAACATATGTCATATTGGTCCATCTAAAAATATTTTTAAATCTTTTAATTCGATTTTGGCATATCTTACCCTTTTAATTCGATTTTGGCATATCTTACCCTTTTAATGCCGTAACATTTATACTTTGCCTATTTTTTTTCTTTTATTGGACTTTTTTTTTTAGAACAATTGCCGATCTTTTTCTCTCTTAGTAGATACTTTATCCATTTTCTTATACAATCATCTATCTTCTTACACACTTTTTCACTATTGACTTGATATTTATGCAAATATTAAGTTTTAAGATCACTGTGAAATAAGGATAGTTTATTATAATAATTTCAAACATAACACAAGGAATGCATATGTACGTACCGTGTATAAGGTGATTAACTTTCAGCACTTCACAAATTAACTACTTCCTCCGTTTTTTTTTTATCGCATCACTTACTACTTTAGGAAGTTTACTTATTATTGCATCATTTCCTTTTTAGGATAAAAAATATCTATGTTCACACTGCAAATACCCAACATACCCTTACTTTTTCACACTTACTTTTTATTTTATCTTACATTACATGGACAATTTTGTATTTTTACGTTTCTCTCTCTTACTTTTTCCCACTACTAAATTTTGCCTCCAAAACCCCTATGATGCAATAAAAAAAAACGGAGGAAGTATAATATTTTATGTTTCGTACTTGTGTAGGGAGGGATAGTCGTACTGTAAAGAATCCCATCTTACATCACAAATTGTCAGAGGCAACACGGAAAATCCTTTTCACAGTCATATTTTCCATAAAGAAAACAATTTACTATATAAAATGTTTTATTTATCAAAAAAAAATAAAGCTGGCCTAATTAAAAAGTAGTTGTGTATATCATTATTAATATAAACAATTGATACACCAAAATACAAAATATGCATATACAAGTTGAGTCGTGAGGAACCAAAAACAAGAAACGAATTAAAATATATATATATATATATATATATAAAAGGATAGATAACTAATTAATTAATCATGGACGACCATGCATCTTCAGCACATTAGCTAAGAAATGAAGAACATATGCAGCAATTCTGATTTTAATCATACCCCTCCTTGGTATTCCTCTGCCTATAGTATTGCTTGAACAACGTTTTCGACCGTATTTTGTACTGCGTATAACAGTCGAAGTATTGCAAACTTTAGTACTACTCATAAAAATGTATTTTTCACGTTGATCAGTCTAATTAATTATGTAGATGGTTGTAATTTCCTGCTGAGAAAAAACTTTAATAATGATTATTGAGGAGAATTTGTTTGATTGAATAATTTGCCTCATTTTAGTGTTTATTTATAGTTTAGATAAACAGAGAAAATCAGATATATAGAGGAGGTTATCAAATTTTTAACTTAAAAAGGAGTTGTAATTATGTTCAATAATTGTAGGCAGTTTGCCAATTAACTGGATTGGTCTAGCTGTGATTCTGTTCAAATATATATATATATTTTTTTCCAATTAGTCAAACTAAAATATAGTTGCATGCATTGTTAAAGTTGTTGTTTTTGATTTGTTAACCAAGTTGACCAATATTTTTGACTGCTAAGTTTAGTGAAGTAGTCCGTATAATAATACGTATGGTCCACGTGATAATTATTGATCTTTTGTGATGGGGATGTGGAGGCGGCGCTTCTAAAAATATCCAAATTATTTATGTTTTTCTTTATTAAATTTATTAAAACCCATAATACGAGTACTTCATATTAAAACTTGATGTATACGGTATACCCGTATGGGTTTTATAAAAGACTGAATTGTCAAGTATAGGTATAATCAATTGAAGCTACACAAATTCTTATATGTGACTGGTCACACCATGTGGTCAATCATCATAAAGTTTACATCGTTAATGTAATAGGGGTTACTTGATCAGTTTAAAGGGGTTACTTCGTCGGTGTTATTGGGTTACTCGATTAATGTTATAGGGGTTACTTGGTTAGTATTACAGGAATTACTTGGTCAGTATTATAAGGGTTACTTTGTTCTTTTATAAGTAGTCACACGGTGTATCCAGCCACACACAAAATAGACTGTTAAAGCTAATAAGGACAATGCATAACTAACCAAACAAATTAAACAAAATATTTTGTTAAATGAAATAATTTTCGTTTCAATAGAAGTATTGTAAAGAAAAGCAAAAATGAAATTTTTGATTAATTAACAACCAAGAAGGAAAAAAAAAAATTCTTTTCTGTTTTCTTTTCTAATATTATATTTTTGGACGGTGCTTTTTATGTGTGGCTGGCCACACCGTGTGTTGGGGTTACTTACTCAGGAGTTACTAAGTTGGTTAAGGGATACTTATTATGGGGTTACTCAGTCGGTTAACGCGTTTTCTGTGTGAGAGTAACTCCTTACCAACCGAGTAACCCTTGACCAAATAACTCCTGACCGATCGAGTAACTCCTGACTGACCGAGTAACCTCTGAATAAGTAACCCCTGACTGACCAAGTAACCCCTAAATAAATAACCCCGGAATAAATAACCTCGACCACAAGGTGTGGCCAGCCACATATAAAACTTTGTGCCTTAGGAAATGCTCTATAAATGCCAAACTATATTCTGGTGATAGCTAAAAATTTCCTCTGCTTCTATATATTTGATTGATTAGCATGATTAAATTATATATTTCTAGTTTTAATGATAATTACTTTAGATTTACTGTGTCAAATTATAAATTTAGGGTTTATAGCTTTATTGTGGATTTGATCAAGTTGAAATAATGAAAATTTGAAATGAATGCATGCAAGACGTACAATATTCCTAGTGGTATAACTATTTATTATTATTGTATTCCATTACTAGGAAAGTGGTGTGCTATTCCATTAGGGAGAAGAAGAAGAAGGAAAAAAAAAAACGCTATAAATTGTTTGATTAGATCACATTGAACTTTATCGATAGTACATGAATTGTTATTGTTTGTAGATACGCCAATACGCGATCTCTAATGTGATTGTGGTTAGATAAATAAACTTGTTCGACCAGCATGGAGTAATTGTTGTTGTAACCAAGGAAGAAGGATATATAATATAATCATCAAGAGCACGAAAACGGATTAAAGTACTGATTCCTGAAGTAAAGAAGGCATTCCAACAATAATGGCAAGAAGTAAACAAAAAATCCAATTCCTTGCCTTAATCACAAGGCAAGAACCACAGTTGTTCCATCTAGAAGAAATAAACTAACACTTCTCCTCTACACTACGTACATGTTCTGTAATATATACCACAGTTGTTCTTGCAGTTTTCTGCAAATACACCTTGATCTAACAATTTGAAGGATGGCTTTTTCACCTTCCTTCACTTGCAAAAATACGCCTAATGTTTCTCAGTTTGGCCTAACATCTCTCACATATATAGCCTCTCGAACATGTAGAAAAAACCTACATTTACCTTGTGGGAATGAAGTTAAACTCGAGCCTAATTTCGGGACATCAAATTTGAGGAAATGTATCAGCCACCAGAGGAAGCCCAGGATGAGCACCACATTAGCAGCAGACTCTGACGTTAATCATGAGATTCACTTCTTGTCTGATATCGTCGAGAAATTTTACAAATGCATCAATCAGGACAACAGGAAGGGGCTAGAAGATCTCATCTCTAGAGATTGTCAGCTTGAGGATTCGGCTTTCCCCTATACAATCAAAGGGAAGAAGGTTAGAAGCTTAAATGTTATCTACTTATATTACACACGATCAACCTCGTATCATAAAATATTCGCGCACTTAAACGTACATTGTAATTGTTTTCCTGCAGGAAGTTATGCGCTTGTTAAGTCAATTAACTGAATCTATGGGCAAAAATGTTATGTTCAAATTAGGAACTGTTTGTGAAGGAAACGATGAGCTCACAGCTTCTGTGAATTGGCATTTAGGTATCGAAATTTCTAGTTGCTTAATTAGCATTAACCAGTCTATATTTACAACTAATATACATTGAAATGTAATCTACTGTCATACTATGCAGAGTGGGAGGAGTCACAAATCCCTTTCTCTAAAGGCTGCAGTTTTTTCCAGTTCTCGAATGAAGGCGATAAACTTGTAATAAGGTACTGCAATTATAAATAAGTCTGATAAGAACACATCATTCAAATTCTAGCTTAATAATGTATGCAATAGACAAATGAGTATTCTGACAATTCTCAAATACAGTAACAAATTTTACATTACATTACATTTCAGGAAACTACAGAACATAACAGAGTCCCCTGTAAAACCGGGTATATTAGCTATGGTATGATCTGATTACCTTCTCCCTGCATTATGATCACGTACTTGAGTATGTTTTGATAACAAATAAAATTTAACAGGCTTTGCTTAAGATTATCAGATCACTTTTCGACGAATTCCCTAAGGCAGCAAAATGTAAGAAAAAATTTCCAATTCCATTATAATGTTCCTACAACTTTTTATTCCAAACGTGTAACACACTGACATTACATATGTAACACATGACAGGGTTTCTAAACAGTCCAAATATCATACTCCGTGCAGTGTTGAGCATATACAGTTTATTCATAGCCCCCTTTGTAAACCCAGTTATAACATTCTACATCACACTATGGAATATTGTGGCTCGGACACTTGGCTATGTGATGAGTTTTTTGCACATCATTGGAAGAATTTTTAATAAAAACTCTTCATCAACTGACATTTCATCGACTGAGATTGATAAACCATCTACTGTCATTGCTAATGATACCTCAACTATGGAAACTGAGCAGGAACCCAGCAGTTTGCCGGAACAAACTTAGGCATTGCAAGTGCTGTCCTGTTTCGACCAAGAGTCCAACATAGTAAGGGTAACAAACGGTCCGAAAATGGGAGGAAGCGGAGGCAGCCAGATGAAGGCCACAATTGTTCTCCTTAACTTACCACTATTCATTTCAATTATTTTTCAGCTCCAACAAAGGAACAATACCACCTGTTGTAGATACCAATATAGTAAATGTAATAGACCTACAAGTTTATTTGCTCTTCATTGAGTTTGGTTATGATTTTTCTTGTATCATTTGAACTCAATGTCAGTTGCATCTTTTGAGCTGCTCTACATTGCTATAAGGTATTTGTAAAAACTACATTATAAAATGAAAAGTATTTTGATATTTATATGTTATCTAGTACCAATTTTGATCAAATCATCTCCTTTATTTTGTTTGTATTAGAATGGATATTCCTTTTCAGTTATGCTAGAAAAACTTTGTACATTAAGAGATATAAGGTCTAATTATGTATTTGAAAAAATTATACTTCATTCGTTCTTTGATTTTTGTAACATGAGGGGTTATGCATTATGCATCACAATGCACATTTTCAACCTTGAATTTAATTAATTATATTAGAGTTAAAAAAAAATACAAATAAACTAATATGATTAAGCGTATACTGAAACGAACCTAATCAAATGGTGAAAACACCACATAACTATTACGGAATACTCCATAACTTTTATTTTACATATAAATCAAAGAAAAATATGTGAATAATGTCAAAGTGCAAATCTATATACTACCTCCGCTTTTAATTATTTGCAACATTGGAGGTTGCACACATGCCAAGGCAAATTTTTTAGAGATTGATTAGTAGTGGAAAAAGGGGTAGTGGGGTATGTGATTAAAGAATGAAAAAGGGAGGGAAAATTATTCTTTTTTTATAAGGAGAGAGAAAAAGTGAAAAGTGTTGACCTAAATTTAAAATTTGGGGGCAATTTTTTGCCCCAAATTTTTACCCCCCCACGTTTCCCCTCCCCCCCCCCCCCCCCTTTTTTTATTGTTTCAACATGCACACAGAAACCAGTGTAAGGGAAAATTTAAGAGGGAAACTTGAAATTTTCCCTCCATATACAAAATCCTTACAATTCAAATTCCCCCCCCCCCATTAAATTCTGCATTCAACAGGGGGTATTTAAAGGCCCTGCCAACAGTAACATCAGAATATTCAATGTTTACAAAAGATTACAGGACACTTAGTCCTCTTCCTAACAGTCAAGTCTAACTAAAATCCAAAAAAAAAAATCCTACTACAAAGTTAGTTGCAGCTTCATCTTCTTCTTCTCTGGTTCAGCAACAGCAACCCAGTCAAAAAAAAGCTCCTACTCGTCATCACCAGACCTGACAACTAAAGAACTCAGCATCATAAGTACACTGAACATGTCAGGCATTTTTTCACATGATGCATTTTTTAGCATAGATCAGATGTTAAATGAGGAACTCAATATGGGAGACATTCATGCAGACATGGAAGGGACAGGTCACAGTCAAACCAACAACACACAGCATGGGGGTGGATTTCAAGAGCCCAAAGGAAGAAAGCAACTGACTGTTCATCAGAAAAGGGAACTAGTAGATGGTTATCTACTCAAGCTAGAGGGGGGGAGTTGCCAAGGGGTTACTTATCACAACAAGCAAGAAGACTCAATGTGCACAGATCAACAATCCAGAGAGTTTTTACTGACATCAAAAACCAAATGGCAATGGGGAATGTCATAAATGTCAGAAGCAAAAAACTGGGAAAAACTGGACCCAAACCCAAAGAATACACTGATAAGTTTCTGCAGTCAGCACCTTTGTACAAGAGGGCAACTGAGAGAAGCTATGGAGCTGCTCTCAAGATTTCATCTACAGCCATTCACAAACTAAAGAAACAAGGGAGACTCAGAACTCATACAAGCACAAACCACCCAGCACTCACATCCAACCACAAAATAGCTAGGATGAAATGGGTCTTAAATCACATACTGCCTGCCACACAGAACAGGGACCCCAAGTTTATGGACATGCAACAAGTGGTCCATGTTGATGAGAAGTGGTTCTACTTGAACCTAGAAAATAGGAGGTTTTACCTTCTACCAAATGAGCCAAACCCCTATAGAGCCCAACAGTCCAAGAGGTTCAAAATCAAAGGGATCATGGCAGCCATAGGGAAACCAGTGTTTTCCCTAATGGAGAAGTACTTCATGATGGAAAATATGGAATATGGCCATTTGTGTATGAAACTACAGCCCAGAAAAAAAAAAAAAGCAAAAACAAAGATGCTGGTACTGTGGAAATAAAAGCCACACAGAATGTAAACAAAGAAGCTATAAGGGCAATGCTATTGACAAATGTTATTCCTGGAATCAAAGCAAAATGGCCTTCACATCTGCCCAAGGACATATTCATTCAGTGGGATAATGCAAGACCTCATCAAATTCCAATGGATGAGGAATTTGAATCAGCCTGTCAGTCAGAAGGATTCAACATTCAATTCATCTATCAGCCAGCATAGTCTCCTGACTTAAATGTGCTGGATCTAGGGCTGTTCAATGTAATACAATCCATACAATACCAATCCTTTCCTAAGAACCTTAAGGAACTCATTGACAAAGTGAAAGAGGCTTATGATTTGTTCAATCCAATGTTGAACAAGAACTGTTGGATAACTCTAAAGTGTTGCATGGAAGAGATACTAAGGCACAAAGGAGGGAATAATTTTACCCCACCCCATAAAGGAAAAAAAAAAACTTGAGAGGATAGGGATGCTGCCAGAGATACTACATGTGGACAAGAATGTGGTTCAAGAGGCTGTGGATTACCTCAACACTCTATTCATATCAACAAGTCAAGAGAATGTGGAAGATGAAGAGATGCAAGTAGATGCAGACTGAACTGAAGTCAAACAAAGGAAGAAGGTTATAGTGAGACTACCACACATAACCAGTGAGAAGCTATGAACATGAATTCAAATAGTATGTGCTGTGTTATTATTTTTTGTTTATTACAGCATGTCAATCATTGGTTAGGTGTCTTTTGTTTTAAGTTATGCATAGTATTGTTTTTAGGCAGTCTTAACAACCTATAAGTGGGAAATGTACAAGTTTTTGTCAACTTCTATAAGTTTTAATTACAAAGGTGGTTGTTTTTATTTACAAGTACATAACAAAACCATCATCCACATGTGCAAAACAGAGACATAGCATCATTCCATCAGATGGGATATATTTTTTCATAGACATTGCATAACTAGTTCCCTCAACAACTACCATCTGGAGTAGTTGGAGCAACCCCAAGTTATGAATGTTAGCTGTCAATTGAGCCCCTTCATCAGTTGGAATTTACAGGCACACACAACAAAGTGAGGGACTTTTATGTAACCTAGGGACCGATATGAGATAGGGGGACTCATACAGGCACAGTCATGCAGCCCACAAGTTCATCATCATTCACCATAGCACAAACCCCATTGCCAATTGGACATGAAATTACCAATAGCCCATTCACTGCCCACCAACAGCTACCATGAATAGCAGACAAATCATATAGCATTTTAAATTGTTAAAACAGGGCAACCAGAGCAAAAAAAAGGGCAACAAGAGCAAAAATAGACCAACCAGAGCAGATATAGGGCAAACAGAGAAAAATTGGGGAAACCATAGCAAAATTGGGGAATCCAGAGAGCAATTAGGGCAACCAGAGCAAAATTAGGACAAGGACAGCAAAATAAGGACAACCAGACCACAAGTTGGCCAACCAGACCAAAATTAGGAAAACCATATCAAAATTAGGGCAACCAGAGCACAATTAGGGCAACCAGAGCACAATTAGGCCAACAACAGCAAAATTAGGGCAACCAGAGCACAATTACACCAACAAGAGTAAAATTAGGGCAACCACAACAACATTAGGACAACCACAACAAAACTAGGACAACCAGAGCACAGTTAGGGCAACCACAGCACAATTAGGCCAACAAGAGCAAAAATAGGGCAACCACAGCAAAATTAGGACAACCAGCATGAAATACGAACAACAATTAACAATTTAAGACACATAATAGAATGTAGGTAAAGAAATGCGTTACGCTGCTAGATTAGTTTGAGGTAGAGGTCAAAGGGGTGTACGACCCTGCACTTTCAACAGATTCAGCCATAGGGGACTCAGATCTCAGGCATTTTCTCCCAGTCTGGACGTGGGTAGACTTAGATCTGACCTCACGCACCTCCTCCTTAACAGATCTACCCTCTACAGGGGTTGGAACTAGGGTATCATCATCATCGCTATCAAGAATAACGATTTCAGGAGCCTTCTTAACGCAAACCTCAACGTCTTTGCCCAGATCTGGCTTCGACGCCTCACTACGCTCCTCATTTGAGTCGTAAGGAGTCAGTTTGGCACCCCACCCACCTCCACGTTGCATATCAAGGTATGTAGCAGTACGCGTCCCTATCAAACGCATCTTCCCAGTGCGTTTCTGGCATTTGTAGGTGGCCACAATGTCACGATCTGCCTTGTTACGGTTAGGGGAACTCATTTTGTAAGCGTTTTGGAAGAATTAGGGACAAGGACACCCAGATCTGCCAAAGTTAGGGTTTAGAATTGGAGAGAGAGTGAGAAAAGGGACGAACTATATGTGAGAAGAGAGAGAGTGCGAGAGTGATAAACGAAAACACAGAGTAATTCTGTGTAAGTGACAGAGGTGAACCCAGATGAACAACCATCATTAATGGTGGTGGATGAGAGGTTCATTGAATTGGGTAGTTGGGAAGATGAATAGGTCTTCAGAATTAAAATGGGATGGTGTAGGATAATTTTTTGGTGGGAATGGTTATGTTAAATGGGTTGGGATTAACTAAAGTTAAAAACAATTACACAATTGCTTAGAATATAATTTGTTTTTTTAAGGGACAAATTTGTAATTTCACATATTATAAAGTTCCTAAATTTGGAAATAAATCAGTTTGTTGCAAATAATATAAAGCACCCCGATTTGATAAATGTTGCAGATAACTAAAAGCGGAGGTAGTATATTGTTAAAACAAGTCATTGTGTACATCATTTGACATGTGTTACTTTCTTATGAAAAATTTTCCAGCTAAACTTTTATGAGTCAATGACACCATATTTTTAATCTTTTTAGTTCTCTCAAGTTCCAAGACTAATATTCTTCAAAAAAAAAAAAAAAAAAAAAAAACGGTTCCAACACGAATAAAATGTAATGACAAAAATATAAGAATTAAATACTCAGTAAAAAAAAATTATTTAAATCATGAAATTCGTGAGACTAACACAATGGTACATATTTAAAGAGCAATAAAAGTCAGTGAAACTTGGTTTAGGAACACAAGTCAGGTGCAATGGCATATCGGCTTAGGTTGTGCATGGGTCAAGCTTTAGAAAATTTTGACAAGTACCCCATAGGCTAAGCCTAGCTAGCCTTAAAGCACGTGAGTTCAGTACACTGCACAACCCTCAGCCAAATGCCAACATTATTTCTTAAACATACTCTTCCTACTTTCCTAGGCATTTTTTTTTATTTTTTTTAAGTAACTTTTTTAAAAGAGAAAAAAAAAAAAAAAAATCTCCTTGCATTGTGTTTTCTCGTGTATAATGTACTGAGTACTTTATATCTTTAGTTTTTTACATACTTTAGCAGCTCAAATTGCTGCAGAAACTGTTAAATACTTCGTACATACTCAAGCCTTGATTTCTTACTTGATTTGGACATTTCAATTCACAGAATCAAAACAGACCAATAACTATTTCATATTTAGTTGTTGTAACCAAGTAAGAACAATATTCAAAAGCAAGAAAATCAATTAAAGTAGTGATTCCTGAATTAAAGAAGTCATTCTAGCAATGGGAACAAGGAAACAAAAAGTCCAATTCCTTGCTGTGATCACAAGGCAAGAATCATGTTCATTAATGCCTTGCTGTAATATATATACCACAGTTGTTCTTGCAGTTTTCCGCAACACCTTGATCTAACAAAGGATGGCATTTTCACCATCCTTTACTTGCAAAAATACGCCTTATAAAAGCCTAACTACTTCTCTCACCTATGTAAGCTCTCAAGCTCGTAGAAGAAACCAACATACACCTATAGCCAAGGTAATTATCCCCAATCCTATTATTTTCGGGACAGCGAATGTTAGAAAATGTATCAGCCACAAGAAGAAGCCTGAGATCAAATGCAAATCCGCAGAGAAGCCAGACTTCATCAACCTCGAGATTAACCTTGGTTCAGTTTCAGATGTCATTGATATATTTCAAGTATGCATCAATAATAAGAACAACACGGAGCAGTTAGAACGTCTCATGTCCGAAAACTGTTGCATTGAGAATTCATCTGATTTTGCTCATTTTTCTTTGCCCGATAAGCGCCAGGGGAAAAAGGTTACAAAACCTGGTTTTATATTAACTATTTACATAAACAATCTCATTCAAATTTGTTCAGTATATATATATATATATATATATATATATATATATATATATATATATATAAATGCATTCTAAATGTTTTCCTCCTGCAGGAAGTCATGACGTTGTTAACAAGACTGGCTAAAGCGATAGATAGCCAAAACCTCCAATTCAAATTCCAAGTAGATACTTGTGAAGAAAAACTTGAGGCGTTTCTGAATTGGAATTTAGGTACCACGCATACATACTTTCTAATTTTATTTTTTTTTTGTTTATGGTAAGATATGAGGTGCCCCTCCTATCACAGGAGGGGTTTTCTATTCATTTAATAAGTTTAAAGTCTTTAATCTAACTGTAAAGCTTTATTTGGTTGCAGTTGAAATGAAGTCACAAGATACCAGATATGAAGGGTTCAGTAAAGTCCAGTGCTTGAAAGAAGGCGATACACTTGTAATAAGGTAATACGACCTGGAAATGGAATAACCAAACTACTTATCCAAATTCTCAGTTCATAGGTTACAATACGCTGATCGAGAATTCTGACAATGCTAAAGAAATACTACTTGGTACTCTGTAGTAACAATTTACATTTCATTACATACAGGAAACTCGAGAACAAAAAGTATTCCAAAACAAAGAAATAACCTAGCAGTTCGCCAGAAAAATCTCAAGGCATTGCCATTGCTCTTCTGTTTCGACCACGAGTCCAAAAATGTAACGAAGCCGAGGCAGCCTGCTGAAGCCCACTAGCAGCATTGTCAGTTCCAGACTTTTTCGGCTCCAACGAAAGAACAATAACTTCTGTTGTAGAATACTAGAATCCCAATTATTTATTTTGTGAGAACTTGTATTCTTATGGTTAATAAATTGTGATAAAAATGAGTTAATTATTCTGCATTTCTATTATAATATAATAATAATTTCCCCATGATCCTTGAATTGGATAATAGTGTTTCTCAATAGATTTTGCCACTGAGCGTGAAGCGGATCTCCTGCGTGTACTCCCTCCAATCCTATCACTTTTTTCCCTTTCCAAATCTTAACAGTATTCATAAGATTACCGATCACAGTTGACTCATATGGTAAGCAACTTGATGTCCCTTCAGGAAGGTCTCGGGTTCAAGTCTCACCGGATGCTGAAAACTCTTATTGGAAGACTTACTTACCAAAAGTCAGGTGTGCGACTTGGGTCTAATCCAAATGTAGTCGGAGCTAATTCATACCGAACACACCATGCCCTCTTCGACTGGGCCGCGTTGGAAGTTCAACATATACTATTACGTTCGAACCCATACTGGATTTGCCAATATTAAAATGATCTACGGGCATATCCTTAATGGAAAATCTATAAATTTTGATAGTTTGCATGACACATACACAAAATAAGACATTTTCAATAATTATTTATCAATTTTAATCTCAAATGGGACCATAAAAAACGAAAGACAAATTTTATTTTAACATTGAACTTAATGCTTTCTTGGAAATTATTAAGAGATAGTGAAATCTAATTCTTTACGTTTTTTAAGTTGGTTAAATAAAATAAATAAATAAAATATAGTTAATTCATTTTTTTTTTTGTGAAAGAAGTCCTAAAGGACTAATCCGTGGTTTATACACACGGGTGTACAGTGCTCATCGTACACCCGGATAAATAAAAAAAAGGCGGAAAGAACATCCTGTGTTTCATAAAGAACATACATGTATTTGACAAAGAACATGTTTGTATTTGACAAAAACATGCATTACCAAAAAACATAAAGATATAATAAAAAGAACGAGATAAAAACTTGATAAAATTTTCTGAAAAATTACACATTATTAACGGGAAAAATTTAGAGGTGATAAAAAATCGAGTAGGGCCGGGCCATATCATAATTTCTTGTGCCCAAACCTGTAGAAAAGTAGCGGGTTTTCGGGCTTTTTTCGAACCCGGTTCGAGTTTTAACTAAAAATGTATTTTTAGGTTTGCCCAAACCCACCCTATTTCGGGCCGGATCGGGTCGGGATGCGAGTCATGCCAATGTTGATCATTTCCCCAAAAAATAGTTTTCTATCTCTCCAAAAAAAATTCAACTTCCCATAATAATTTAGTTTTTTTTTTTACTCTAACATTATTTTCAATTAAAAATAATTTAAGATTTCAATATCAAATTTCAAAATACCATATGTTAAAAGAACATAATTTATATTGTAAAGTACATATAGTTAATACCTAAATAACACACTAATCAAACTCAAAGAATATACGATAATAAAAGTAATTTAAATATGACATATGATAATAAAAAATAGAATTTGGGAGTCACTACGACCTTAAAGAACATACACGCCAAATTCAAAGAACATACTTTGTATTATTAAACCCAAAAAAATATATATGTTTATCAACATATGTTAAATAACATAAGTTATAATATAAAGAACATATAATTTTACTCAAAGAACACACTGATCACACTCAAAAAACATATTAAAGGTATGTTCTTTGTCAAACATAGGTATGTTCTTTATCAAACACTATATGTTCTTTCCGCCTTTTTTTGTTTACCCGGGTGCACCATGAGCATGGTGCACCCGGGTGTATTATCTAATTTTCACTAAAGGACACTATACATCATTAATTAAAGTCATACGGCATTTACAATTGACAATTAACGATAATGAAAATAGATCTAACAAAATCAAACAAGAATTGATCGGGGAAGGGCTAAGAATTCAAATACATAAATATAACAATTCGGCACATTCTCGATTCGTTGTCTCATACAACTTTTTAAGTGGATCCGTAACCGCTTCATAATTTTGTGAAAAAAAAAATTCTTGTACTGATTCTGTAATCCGAATGCGAGCAATAATCAATCGCAAACCCACATAATTAATTAAATTAAAATAGGGTGTTTTAAGGGTGATAAAATAAAAAATTTCCTCTATTCTATTACATATTTCAATGCATAAACTCAACCTTAAATATCTACAATTAAAATAGACAAAAAAAAAATAGAGAATTCTCAATAGTGCTCTTAAGGTTTTATTTTTTCTCAATGGCAAACACTAAAAAAAACAAATTATCAATGGTAATCTATGATTTGTAGAACTAATTCAGTGGTAACAATAATGACATTAATCCATAATTATTAGCCTAACCCTAGTTAACTAATGGCATAATGACCAATATAATCCTATTAATTAAATAAAAAAAATTAAAAAAAAAAAAAAAAAAACCCAGCCGTCCCAACCCCAACCCAATGCCAGCCCCCCTCCCCTGCCAGCGGCGGTCGGCGACCCTCTCCCTCCCTTCCCCTGGTGGCGGCTACCCTCTCCTTCCCCGATTCACTCTCCTTCCCCCGATTCCCAGCGAGCCACCACCCCTTTCACAAATTTCACAAAATTTTCTCTCTCCTGAATTTGCAGACCACTCTCTCTCTCTTCGAATTTCCGTCACATTTTTCGGAGGACGGAACTCTGAAATCTCACTCAAACCAAACTACCACCAACACAAATCTCGAACAGAGAGAAAAACCCTAAAAATACCTTCAATCTCCTTTAATGGCGGTTTCCGATGATGTAACACCGTTCTAGTCGTCTTAGACGAGATACGCCTACCAAATTGACCCAATTCGTTGAACCGAAAATCCGTAGCCCGACTGGATCTTCGTCGAAACCTGGCCTAGGGCTGTTGTTAATGGTGAAAATGATGATGATGATTGCGGGTGTTCTGTTAATGGTGAAAATGATAATGATGATGGTGGTGGTGGTGGTGGGCGCTGCGAAAGAGAGAGATGAAAGGATGGTGGTGGTGGGCGCCGGCGCTGGGGTCGTGGGTAGGCAGGGGCTAGGCTGGGTTGGGGGAGGGGAGAAGAAGTGGGTGGGTTTATTTTGTAAATAGGGGTATTTTAGACATTATTCAACCCCCTCCCCCCCCCCCCCCTCCTTAAAACATTAACCAATTTCCTTAAAATGCTCAACTAATGTTACCATTGAATTAGTTTTACAAATTATAGATTACCATTGATAATATTTTTTTTTTTAGTGTTTACCATTGAGAAAAAATAAAACCTTAAGAGCACCATTGAGAATTTTCCAAAAATACATATATACTCCCTCCGTTCTTGAAAATTCTACTCACATTGCGATTGCGCGGTCTCCAATGAACATCTTTGATCATAAATAACTTCGATTGTGTATAAGTAAAATTTGTAAAAAGTTGATATTTGGATTATTTATAATAAGGGGAATCTAATATGATCTCACATGCTAATTTATTTATATTGTATAGCTCATAAAATGTGGTCAAAGTTATTTTATTTTAACTACATGAATAGTAAGTGAGTCGAATTTTCATAAACGGAGGTAGTATATATACAAGTGTAGGGAAACTGATACTTTGAATTATAAAAACACATATTAACATAATCTAATAAAATCTCACATAACTAGTATTTTGTTTACAAAACAATAATACACAAACATCAGTCAAAGTTGAATTATTAATACAGTAGTATTAAAAGTCAAAATATGTCAACTAAATTGAAACAGATGGAATACTTTATACGGAGTACAATATATAATCAAGCCTTGATTCTTTAGTTGATTTTCGTAGCAACAAAACCCACCAAAGATTTGATCTTGTAATTGTTGTTGTGACCAAGGCAGAACTATAATCAAAATGAAAAAAATCAATTAAAGTAACGATTCTTGAATTGAAGCAGCCAAGGAAACAAAAAGTCGAATTCCTAGCTGTGATCAGAAGGCAAGAACCATATTTGTTGATGCCTTGCTCCCATTACAATTCGACATCTCCATTTTCTAGAAGAGAGTAATAACACTTCTCCTCCGTACTTCCCTGTAACATACAACTCCGTAATATAAATACATACCACAGTTATTCTTGCAGTTTTCTGCAAAACCTTGATCTAACAAGCAAATTAAAAGTATGGCTCTTTCCCCATCTTTTACTTGCAAAATTATGCCCAACATTTCTCACAGAAGCCTAACTTCTCTCAGCTACGTACGCTCTCAATCATCCTGTAGAAGAAACCTACATACACCTAGAGTTAAGGTAGTTATCCCCAAGCCTATTTTCAGGACAACAAACATCAGAAAATGTATCAGTCACCAGAAGAAGCCTGAGATAGGATGCAAATTCGCAGCAAAGTCAGACTCCAGCTCAGAGTTTAACACCGTCTCGCATGTTATCAAGAAATTTTGCAAATGCATCAATGAGGATAACATGACGGAGCTAGAAAATCTCATCTCCAGAGACTGTTACATCGAGGATACACTATTTAAAACCAAGGAGGAACATAAAAGTGGGAAGGAGGTTACAAAGCTTGATTTTACCTACTTACACATAACCTCAATCTATTTATTTTCATGCACTTGAGCATACATTCTAAATGTTTTCCTGCAGGAAGTCAAGGAGTTGATATATAAACTTGCTAGAATTTTGTGTATCCAAAATCTCCAGCTCGAACTAGCAGAGCCTATTCCTGGAAAAGAAGAACTGACGGCTACTGCGAATTGGCGTTTAGGTACCATGTTTTCTATTTACTTGATAGGTATAAACTAGTTTACTTCCTTCACACATAAACTGGTAAAACTTTATTTGCTTACAGTGCATAAGGATTCACCAGAGCTTCACCATAAAAACATAAGAGGATTTAGTACATTCCAGTGCTCGTATGAAAGCGATACACTTGTAATAAGGTAATAAGAACAGGAATAACCAAACACCCAAAATCCCACTTCAAAATATAACTAGCTTGCAAAGTTGCAATACACAAAACTGAGAATTCAGACAATCCTAAGAAAATAGTAACAGATTTTACATTTCTTTGCAGGAAACTTGTGAACATAACAGAGTCAAATGAGGGAACAAACCAGGAACCTAGTAGTTCACCAGAACAATCTTAGCCATTGCCATTGCTGTCCTGTTTCGACCATGAATCCAACATAGTAAGGGCAACAAGCGGTCCGAAAATGGGAGGAAGCGGAGGCGGCCTGCTGAAGGCCACTATAGGGTCAGCAGCCTTCTCATCTGCAATAGTCTTCCTTGCCTTACCACTATCTTCATTTCCATTCTTCTTCGGCTCCAACGAAGGAACAATACCACCTGTTGTAGAAAACCAATATTTCATTTAGTGAAATGAGTGTTTTACGGTTAATTAATTGTTATAAAATGAGTTTAATACTCTGCATTTTGATTATAATTACCCCATGATCCTTCAATTGGATAAAAGTGTTTCTCAATAGTTTTTGCCAATGAACGCGAAGCTGATCCTCGCATGTATATTTTATCACCAGTAAAAACACCAGATTCTGTAAAGCAAAAATCAGATAAATTTCACAAAAAAACCTACTTTAGTGTGTAAAAAACAAAAACAAAAAATCCGTAAAAATCAGTATAAAATGGCAATATAATTTGTAGTATTAATAATCAATATTGAATTTTGGTCAAAGATAATCAAAACTGATGATTATATTAGTAAATTTACATTCAATGATTCAATCCAACGATAAAATTATTAAAATTAACATGATCATTTTTTTATAACTTTTTTTTTTTTAAAAAAAAAGGATGAATCAGGAAGAAATTAGAAAAGATGTCATATGACAGAGACCATCATCTTCCCTATCAACTTTCATCATCTTCATCCTTCATAGTAACAATCAGATTATAAACCCTAATTAAATTTAATTCATAAAAATCTAATTCAATCCATAATCAGAGAAAACCAATTTTAATAAACAATGTGTAACGATTAATTTTAAACTTTATATAAAAATCAGTAAAAGTGAATATAGTCCAAAAATAAATTAATTGAAAAACAGCATAATCAAATTCTAAAAATTATTTTTAAAAAATGAAAATGGCTAAGAAAGAGGATGAAATCAGGAAGAATTTAGAAAATGTGTCATATAATTTATATCCCGTATTAAACTTTCATCATCTTCATCCTCCTTACTTGCTATGATTTCAATCAAATATAAAATCCTAATTAAATCATCCAAAACTATATAAATTAATCGTGTAAAATAAAGTATTATAAATAAAAATTGATAAAAATAAAGTTGCAGGAAGAAAGAGAAAGAACTGTACCTGAGAATTGAGACGATGAAGAAGGCAGTGGATGAATGAGATCGGTAATATTGAGGAAAGAAGTGTGATGAAGAAGTTGGAGGAATTTTCCAGAGTTATTACGTGGCACTATATTAAAGTGCTTTATTAATGGCATGCGAAAGAATCTCCTTTATTTTTGTTTGGGTTAAAATCATGATTCTTATTCTGTTCCGCTAGAGGTGTCCACCGTGCGAGTCGTGCGAGCTGGGTTAGGGTTAGGTGGGTCGCGGGTTGGGGTTTCATGACACACGGCACGACACACGTAGGGTAGGGTGGGCCGGGTCGTGAGTTGGGTCGGAGAAGTTGGACACACCAGGGTTAGGTTCGTGGGTTAGACGAGTCGTGGGTGGGTCGAGCTGGGTTTGTGGGTTAGACGGATCGTGGGTGGGTCGAGCTGGGTTTGTGGGTTAGACGGGTCATGGGTGGGTCGAGCTAGGTTCGTGGGTTAGACGGGTCAAGGTGGGTTAGTGAGTTAGGGTGGGTCGAAGGGTGGGTTAGTGGGTTAGGGTCGGGTGGGTTTGTGGGTTAGGTGGGTTAGGGTCGGGTGGGTTAGTGGGTTAGGGTCGGGTGGGTTTGTGGGTTAGGTGGGTTAGGGTCGGGTGGGTTTGTGGGTTAGGGTCGGGTGGGTTCGTGGGTTAGGGTCGGGTGGGTTGTGTGGTGTTTTAATTTTTACAAAATTAACAATTTGATGGCTTGCTCTTAATTAAGATGCCTACGTATCCTTATATTATAAAATAAGGAATCAAAGCCAGCGTAGTTCTTATATTGTACTTCTTTTGAAATTTGGGGGGGGGGGGGGCTTGGACCTATCTTTAGAAAACTAAAATTTAATTTTGCAATTAAATTGTAATTTTCGAAAAATAAGTTGCCTACGTATCCCGAAAGAATCAAAGCCCACGTAGTTCTTAGCGTACCTGATTTAGACTTTTCTAGCCACCCATGTTTGTTGCATCATCATCCCCGGAAGCTGCATCATCCGTTGACGACTCCAATATCATCACAGGATCATCTTCATCGTCTTCGTCTTCCTTTAAACCTTGAGTTCTTCTTTCAGCTTGATCCCAATCTTTCTTACAAACACAAATTTGAATGCTTTCCGGAGTTAAGCGAGATCTTTTTTCATCTAACACTCTTCTACCTGCACTAAAAGCAGACTCGGAAGCAACAGATGAAGCGGGAACTGCAAGTATATCTTTTGCAATTCTCGCCAATATAGGAAAACTTTTTTTATGTTCTTGCCACCATTTTATAATTTGAAAGTTGTTGTTGGTCTCATGTTGATATGACAAATAATCATTAATAGCAAGTGTTGAAGAAGATGATGATGAGAATGATGTAGATGCTTTGTGTTTTTTTTTCATAACTTTATCAAGAAAACCAAATCTAGAATCGGAAGTGCTAGTAGTAGTTGGTGTTGCCAAATCAAAACCATAAATAGATGCATAATGATCATAAAGGTCTCCCAAAACAGATTTGCATTTGTTAATATATTCACTAACATCATAATCGATACTTAAACTTGTATAATAAAATTCTAAAAGATTTTCCAAACCTTCAGCTTTGACACCGGGGTCAAGAATAGCAGCAATTCCATAAATGATTGGAAATTCACTAAAATAAGTATGCCACTTACGTTTCATGCTATCAAGAACGGGACGAAGTCCATCAATCTTCATATGCTCTTCGATGGTGTGAACAACTTTAACACACTCAATTATGACTAAATGAACGTTAGGCTCATAAATATAAGAGAAAATATGAGTTGCACTATCAAAAGCATTTAAAACATCACGAACAAAAGAAGCATTAGTCCAATGACTTTCGGTTATTAACTCAGTAGGATCAACACGAGTCTCATTGTAAAGTTGGGTCAAAATATCACGATACTTTATAGCATCACTCAACAACTTGAAAGTAGAATTCCAACGGGTAGGGGTATCAATAGACCATTGTCTTTTCTTAAGACCTCTCTCTTTACACATAGCTATGTACTTTCTTCTAACTGACTGAGTAATCCTAATCCATTTTATAACTGTTCTAATTGGGTTTAGCAATGGTTGCAACTCAGCGAGACCCTCTTGAACAGACAAATTCAAAATATGAGCACAACATCTAACATGCAAGAGACTACCACCCAACAACAAATTCAACTCGGAGTCATTTTTCAAATAGTCAATACACTTTGTGTTTGCAGTTGCATTATCAAGAGACAAAGAAAAAACTTTATTATTCAAGTGAAATTCTTTTAAACAATCCAAAATACGAACTTTGATGTTAAAACCGGTATGCCTTTCTTCCATAGCTTGAAAACATAGTATACGTTTTTGAATAAACCAATCATCATCCACCCAATGAGCAGTAATGCAAAGAAAAGGTTCGCCAAAACTAGAAGTCCATGTATCACTTGTAAAACTAACACGACCATCAAAAGTACGAAATAATTCAATCAAACCACTCCTATACTTATAATAAGAAGTTTGTGTATAACGTCTTAGGGTATTTCGGGGGACACGAGTAAATGCAGGTTGTAATGCAACTTTATTAAAATGCTCAACGTTTGCATTTTCACCGTAACTAAAAGGGTATTCATTAGCAATAACTAAAGTACTCATTTCATCAATCATTCTATCTTTATTATAAATGAAAGGTGTACCTCCGCCGGGTTGGTTCATGTATCCACCCAATTGTGTTTGGACGCCACCCCCCGAAGGACGGGGGCCATTTTCGAACAAGTCGTGTTTATTTTGCAAATGCCGACTCAAGGTTCCGGTTCCATCTCCCGTTTTCCAATTATATGACTTGACATTTGCACCTAGCGCCTTGCAAACTAGGCATGTACACGTGAACCTCTTTGGTTGACCAGGTTGCCATCCCGGGGGTGTGACCTCAACTCGTTCAAAATGTTTCCACACCCAAGAAAAATGTGCTCGACCTCTACTTTCACCGCCACCACCTTTCATAAATCAAATTATTAAAATTAATTTTTAAATGCTATTCATGAAAATAAGCTTTTAAATTTTAAATATTTTAATTATACTTATTTAAACGCATTTTTCATGGTAATTAACTAATTGTAAATCATAGAAAATTGGAAACTAAACTAACTTTATAATCATTAATAATAGTTTTTTTAAATATTCATAACAATAAAAATTTAATTAGAAATTACCTTGAGATGAAGGTTGAGATGTTGGTTGCGATGGAGGTGGCATAGTTGAACTTGATGATTGGTGGGACTCGTGGGAGAAATGTTGTGGTGGAGACGTTTGAATATTTTGCCTATCTCCTAAACCATAATCTCCATATTCATTGACAAATTGGTTTAAATTTTCCGTATTAATTTCATACGAAAAATTTGCACCACCACTCCTTTGGCTACCACTTCGACCACCACTTTGACTCCTTCCCATTCCTCCTCTTGAGCTCATTTTTTTTTTGTATGATTACTAATTATAATATGGAGAAGAACTTTTTTTTTTTAGAATCTTAAGAATACTAATAATAATATTAAGGAGATTTTTTTTAACAAAAATATAACTCTATATAACACTTGAGAATTTGAGAACAATAAGAATTTTTAAGTAAGAGAGAAAGAAAGCTTGAATTTGTGTGGAAATTTGAGTGAAATGGAATTGGTATTTATAGGAAAAATAGAATGGATGATCATACACTTAAAAAACTAGCCGTTAGATACAAAAAACTAGCCGTTAGATACAAAAAACTAGCCGTTTTTTTTTTAAAATGGATGTTAGGCCGTGCGGGCCGTGCGGGTCGTGCGAATTGTGCGGGCTGTGCGGGCCGTGCGGGTTGTGCGGGCCGTGCGGGTTGTGCCGGCCGTGCGGGTTGGGTGGGTCATGCGTGCGGGTTGGGTGGGTCATGCGTGCGGGTTAGGTGGGTTGGCTCGTGCGGGTTGGGTGGGTCATTCGTGCGGGTGGGCCGTGCGGGCTGGGTTGTGCCAGGTGGGTCGGGTTAGGTGGGTTCACGGGCTAGGTGTGTCGAATTAAATGAGTCAAAACGGGTTGTGCGATTTGGGTCGAATCAAACGGGTTAAACTGAGCTGGGTTGAAATGGGTTGTGTCGAAAATTTTGGACCCACGACACAACCCGGATTAAATCCGAGCTGTGCCGGGCTGTGCCGGATTGAAACCGGGTCGGACCCACGTGACCCACCAGCCGTGCGAGTTAGGGTGGGCTGGGTCCAACCCGGCCCACTGGCCACCTCTATGTTCCGCCCATGATAAATTGGACCATAATAATCCTATTTAGCCAAAGAAAATTGCCCCAAGCCCCCAATTTGCCATTTTAGCATTATTTTAAAGAAAATGTCCACAACATCCCGTTAATATATATATATATATATATATATATATATATATATATATATATATATATATATATATATTGTCCATAACATATCCATGTAACAAAAAAAATTGCTACTTAAAAACATTTTGACACTCTTTTCACCAATTTATATTGTAGGTAGGGTAATAATAATAATAATAATAATAATAATAATAATAATAATAATAATAATAATAATAATTGAACTTAACTCAAATGAAAATAAATTTAGATATAAAGAACACAATCTTACTTTTTAAGGTCAACTATTTAATAGACTAATCAATCAATCATCAATTATCATGACATAATACTAAAACAGACACCAAGAATCTTCCTGGTGTTCTCCCTCCAAAACTCCCCCTATCATTTTTAGCAAAAATATTTTATTTTTGGAATATTTGTATAAATACAACTATAATCTAATACATTATTCCTAATCTTATAGGAAGTATATTATTTTTATAATAATTGTATTTCCTTTTATTTCGTGTTCTATTTACTTAAAATAGTTACACAAGATTTTGAGACCTTTTAATTAAGGAAGATAAGCTATAATTTAGAAGGTTGAAATATGGTGGAGAGTATAAAATTACGGAGCCAAAAATACAATATCAAACGACTACACGTCAGTGGATTTCAAGGTGAATAAGAGCTAACTCACAGATTATATTGCTTCAGATTGAGTTTTTTAATAAGGCGATTGTTGATCTAATCTGTAACACCCCCAAATCGCCCTCTACGAAAATAGTAGGATAATACATATCAAATACCGTAGAGATAGAC